TATACGTACATAGTAAACAAGGGCTTCTATGCCCTATTCACATATACAGAACGTCACACATAACGTAAAAAAAGTTTAAATTTACGTTTAGTAATAAACGACTATTAAAATGGCCTGTAAATTAAGTTTTATATAAAAACACGCTTCTTATCTCTTTTAAAGGTTTAAAAAACTTAAAAAATAAGAAAAGTTAAAAGAATATCTTATAATCGTAAAAGTACTGAAAGGCTGCGGATGACAATCAGGATGATCACAGGGATCGATCTGAAGCAAGAAGACATTATTGACATCCCTTACGCTGCCTGTGAGTGCGCAAAGATCAAGAAGTTTATCTCTAAGAAAGCACGCGAGCGTGCTAAGTACGTCGGGGAGATCAGTCACATTGACTCAGGCACCTGTACACCAATCTTAATGAAAAGGAATAAGATATTTGACATCATCACGGATGACAAAAGCGGCTATTACGAGCACGCACTCCATCCGATAAAGCACAGTGTTACTAACCACCTTGAGGAATACATCACCAAAATGAATATCGCGCTTATAGCAATGCCACCTATTGACGGCCAGGCTCACCGCATGAGGATTATCAATACAGATAGAGGGTGCAAAATAGGCATGTCACGTCTTGAAGGACGATTCAAAGAAGATAAGATTCAACTGATCATCTCCTCACCAAATAACCAGTACCAGAACGGCGTTTTTGAACGCAGCATCCAGTTCTGTATAGAAGAGGCTTACGCAACTGGCCTTGAGATGAACATCCCGAGCTGCTTCTGGGATAGCACAACGTCCTTTACGATCACCATTCTGAATCGAACAGGTCAATCAACTCTAAAGGATCGCACTCCGTATGAGGACTACATAAGCGGGATAGACTCCCTTTATAAGTATTCAGTCTCTGCGGATCAGTTTAGGATCCTGGGATCGCGATGTTTTGCACTGATCGATAAGAGCCTTTGTATCACTTCTGAAAAGCTTGAAGCAAAGGGAGCCAAGACTATCTTCCTTGACTACCAGGGCACGCAGAACTACGAGGTCTGGCTGATTGAAGGCGGCCATTATCTGATAACGCCGCACGTCCGTTTCCTTGAGCACATCAGACACGACGATCCCCCAGATCCTCGTGATATCATCAGGTCCCTGCCCACAGCCGTGCAGAAGCGACTGAGGCTTAGAAAGAAGGGCAAACCGGCAATTGGGATTAAGAACCGTGATCTTAATATTATTGAAGAAGACATTACAGGTGATGAGGGCACCGTGAAGCGCAAGCGTAGGCACCCAAAGAAGAAGCACCACAATATGTATCACATGTGTGTGGACTTCCCTGACTCTGATGAGATCAAGAGCGCCATGAAGATGGTCTCAATCCAAGAGGGCAAGAGTGGCAAGGAAGGCGGCTCAGTAGCTGCTTCTGACTCTGATCAGAACGACTCTGACGGCTATTTCAATCCTGAAATATTTGATTACGATGCGCACTTCACAAAAGAGCACGCTAAGGCGGCTATGTTCCATGATACAGCTGCTACTATGGCTAAGATAAACGCTCAGATCGTCAATGAGCTCCTTGAAGACGAGCGAGAGTATCTATTTAACCCTGATCAGGACAATCCCGGTGATGACAGCGTAGCTACATACTATACAAGGATCCTGTCGCCTAGTTACAGGCTGATGGAGGCCAGAGCAGTTACAAACCCTACCTTTAAAAAAGCCATGAATGGACCAGAAAGGGAGCTGTGGATTGCAGCTATCTTTGAGGAAATCAGAGAGAACTTTGAGCGCGGCACTTTTGGCTTCAAGAGCACCAGCGAGGCTATCACAGACCATCTGATTGATGCAAAATGGGTACTGAAGAAGAAGTTCCTATCTACTGGCGAACTTGACAAGTTCAAGGGCAGAATCTGTGCCAGGGGATTCACACAGCGTAAGGGCATTGACTACAATGAAACCGCGGCTTCTACAGCGCATTCAGCATTATGAAGGATACTGATGGCGCTCGCCGCTTTACTAAGATGGTATATCATCCAGATTGACTTCATTGCTGCATACCTGAACGGTGAACTTCAGGAACATATCTTTATGAAGCAATTCCCTATGCTGTATGAGTATTTCTAGGCCCATCCCGATCAGGCCAGGCTGTATTGCTATGCTCCTGAAAAGATCATTGAGCTGTTGAGATCACTGTATAGCCTTAAACAGTCAGGCGCAATGTGGCAGAAAAAGGTACGCAAACTGCTTAGCAAGCGCGGATTTGAGCCTCTCGTATCGGATGACGCGATCTACTTTAACAGTGCTACAAGCGAGGTGATCGCCTTGTATGTGGACGACTTCCTCCTCTTTAGATTTGATCTTTGGTGCCTTAGAGACCTCACCAAGTCTATCAAGGAGGACGCGCTGATCACAGGCGAAGGAGCCGCAGACTGGTTCCTAGGCGTTCGGATTGTCAGGAACGCTGATGATGGCGATGTGAGGCTTAATTAAGAACAATATGTTACACAGGTTGCAAAGAAGCTGGGTGTACAGCACACCAACCCTGTGATCTCTCCCTTGGATCCCACAACGGCTAAAGAAGCCACAAAGCATACTGGAGAGGCCTCTGCAAACGAAATCTATAATTACACCTTAGCAATTGGCCAGTTCATCTTTTCAGTATGTATCGCGCGCCCTGACCTCGCTTTTGCGGCTTCCACCTGGGCACGATTTATGAGCAACCCATCTCTTAGCCATCATCAGGGCCTCAAAAGGGTTGCCAAATATATAAACGGGACCCAGAAGAGAGCCATACGATATAGGCAATCGGCAAAGGATCATCCCTATCGCTATTGCAACAAGCCTGGGCTCTATGGAGCCGTGGATTCAAGCTTTGGGACCTGTCCAGATACTGGCAGATCAGTTACAGGCATTGTATTCTTCCTCTCCGGCGCTCCTATCCTGTGGCAACTAAGGCTGCAGACAGTGGTAGCAAAGAACACCTCTGAAGCTGAATACATTGCTCTCTCAGAGGCAGCAAGAGATGCGGCATGGATCAAAAGCTCCCTCACAGAGCTCAACTTGATGCCAGAAGGGCTAATTACCTTGTTAGAAGATAACAATAGCACGATCGCATGGATAAAGGAATCGTAAATATCAAAGCAGAAGCGCCACATCCGTATCGCATACCATTACGCTCGCCAGGAAGCTGATGCTGGCCATATCAAGGCCCAGTACATCAAGAGCGAGGAAAATCCAGCTGATGGATTTACCAAGACACTCTCAGGGGCAAACCACAAGGAGTTTGTACGGCTATTAGGCCTGGAGGACTTCGAGTAGATAGACAGATGGATCACCAGATTGTTGGCTTGGAGTGCTATAGCACGCCTGCTGTGATCCCAGATAGATAGATAGACCGTGATTTTGCTGATTTCAGAGTGCAGTTGAACCTTTCGGGCAAGAGGGCGTGTCAGATGTTGGATCTCAGATATGGTGCCCTTAGGTGCAGTACCCACTAGGGGGCTGTCAAGGGAACAGTGGATCTACCCTGACATGGTGCAGTATAGTATTTAACTGTAGATTAGCCCTGCCGAGCATACTTGAGAATGACAACAACATTTGCAGCGGCCGCTCACACAACCAAGGCTTATAACCCTTCTAGAATCTCATAACTTTAATTATGTATAATTATATAACGTTATATATTACTTTTATTTACTAGGTATATTTTCGTATTATTTTCATATATATTATTTGAATCTTTTAATTTAAAATCAAATTCAAATTTGTTTTTTACGTTAATCGTACGTTAAGCGTACGTTAAGCGTACGTTAAAATCTATCACGGGTAGAAAAAATCCTAACCCTGGTGGATGCCCGGCGTGTACGAACATCTGTTGAATACACGGATGCTGATTGATTCTATTGATTGTGTAGGTTTTTATTCAGAGTACAGAGATTGATCATCTGTCTTCTTGGTGGGTCAGATGCCCTGTGTTGGATTAAAGGTGAGCCCAGAGGGCACCTTGATAGGTAGACACCGGAACCTAGTTGTTCCGTCCCGATCCAGCCCCCTCTGGCACAAAACTGCCACGGTCGCACGAGGACACTCTAGAGAGACAGAATACGCAGACACACTTCAACCTCACGATTGGCTCAAATCTGACACCCTGTGCGTCTCTGCCCCACTGGAGATCTTTCGGTGTCTATTTCCGGCTCCCATTCAACAACATCCCTAACCCTGGTGGATTTTTCCTCCCCCTGGTCGACTACGACGTCCTTGCGCAACCCGCCTTGCTCATATCGCAGTGGCGGGGAACAAGGTTGCACGGAAGGACGTACATGCCTGCAGATTGCTTTTTATTTGGCAGACTTGGTTGGAAGGACTGTGTAGAGGCAGGCTACGGCCCGGGACCCAGGCAGGCTGCGGCCCGGAACCATCGGGCATGCATGTATAGGTCAAGTGACTGTTGGGTTGTTGTTGCATTGCTTCTCATTACTAAAAGCACTGAAACACAATATTACCACCTTCATTCCTGCACCACCTACCCAACAAGCTCAGCCATGCCTACCTAGGTAGGTTCTAGCGGCCACTGTTTGTCTGCCCAATCAACTTGATTGATAAGTCATCTGTTATTTTTAGGGCCTTGCTGCGTGAGTCTCATCAATGATCACACACGCTTGTCAGTGGGCTGAACCGGTCATTTGTCGTTTGTGATGTCTGCGATGTGCCCCTCTCAGTGACCGGACGGCCGCATAAAGGAGGAAACATCATAGTCAGGCTGCCAGCTTTGACCGTGCGTCCAATGCATGGGGGAGAGCGGTCGTTTGCCTTCACCATGCGGTCGACATCAAGTCAAGTGCGCAGTCGCTCCATCCCCTGAGCCATGACGTCCTCTCAAGCTCATGAAATATACGGGCTTCCCCTCGCGCCGCCGCTCTTTTGTGTGAGTTGCTTACCTGGCAGTCTTCTCTATCCCGCCATTCACCAAATCATCCAAGCCCAAAATCCTAGAAACCTCATAGTTTATCATGGCAAACGCTACAAAGGCCTCCGCCGACTTCATCTCGGCCGCTGAGACCGTCTTGACCAGTCAAGATGACGCCTCTCGCAAGCAACTTCTGAGCACTGCCATGCAGGCGACAGCGATGCTCGAAACTCCCTTGGATACCGTTTGGAAGATGATAATGTCGGTATGTGATCAGGCTCCGACAGTATCTTGCCTACTTGAATCGACTCTAACTTGATCACTAGCCCCATGCGCCCGCCGCTCTGATGACTCTCATCAAGGCTGGAGTCATCCAGGAGATCGCTAAGGCGGAACCATCGGTCACGGCTGACCACCTTGCCTCGGTCTCAGGCGCCGACAGGCTGCTGATTGGTACGAGCAAGTGACCTCTCATCTGAACGACCTCTAGCTAACATTCTCAAGTGCGGCTCTTACGCCCCCTCGCCGCTTTGGGCGTGGTGAAGGAGACAAGCCAGGAGGTGTATGCTCCTACACCGATCACTAAGGTCTTGGTTGATCGCGCTCTGCTCGGCGGATACCAATTCATGTATGCGACTTTTCTTCCGTATGATTGTTTACTTAGCTTGCACTGACGATATCAAGGTTCTCTGCTGCGGCGCGATCGCTCGCGAATCTGCCCTTCTATCTTGAGAAGACAGACTACAAGCATGTTGCTGGAGCCCCAGGTCCATTCCAGGATGCCCACCATACAGACAACAACATGTTTCCATGGCTCATCAGTGACCCGTCCATGATGGGTAACTTCAACGCCTTCATGACCGGACAGCGCGCCGATCGCAAACAGTGGTTCGACTTCTTTGATGTCCACGACATCCTGCTCAAGGGCGCCAAGAACGACCCCAATGCCACGCTGCTCATTGACATCGCCGGCGGCGAAGGTCATGATGTCGCTGAGTTCCACAATCGCTTTCCCGATGCACCGGGCCGGCTCATCGTGCAGGACACACCCCCTGTGATTGACAGCATTCAGGATCTCACGCCCAAGGTCGAGCGACAGAAGTATGACTTCTTCACGGAGCAGCCTATCAAGGGTAAGTGGCCTGGACCCCTCATCCTCACCCTCTCATTGAGAACTTTATCTGATCGCGCAACAGGTGCTCGCTGCTACTACTTCCGCTCCATCTTCCATGACTGGCCGGACAATGACTGCATTGCCATCCTCAAGAACACGGCGGCGGCAATGACGCCTGGTTACTCGAAGCTCCTCATGTCGGAGTTCGTGCTTCCTAGCTCCAACACGCCTCTTTACCCTGCGCTTCTGGACATCAACATGATGGGTGAGTCCTTTCTTCTCTTGCTAACCTCGCTTTTCAGCTTCTGACCTCGGCACTGACAATACGACAGCTCTTTTGAACGGCATGGAGCGAACTGAGGCTCAGTTCACTGCGCTTTTGGACGCTGCTGGATTCAAGGTCGTCAAGTTTTGGTCTGTCGGTGCCGAGACCGAAGGTTTGATTGAAGCTGTGCTGGACAACTGAGATCTCTCGCTCTCGCATCAACCAGATAGAGTTGTCTCATTCGCTCGGGCTAGATGTCTTCCTTCTCGTTGGTCTTGCTTCTCGTTGGTCTTGCTTCTCGTTGGTCTTGCTTCTCGTTGGTCTTGCAATATTAGTTCGCATTTTGGATGCCGTCATTCCTCCTCATAGCCTTAGAGTCGTTGGTGAGCTATTGAAGCTCTGATCAATCATTCTAATCATGCTCAGTCTTCACTTTGACATACAATGTGCCAGACTCTATACCGCTCTGGCTGTATTCCGCGCGCAAAAGCCTGCCACGGCCGTCCACGGCTGCGGCCCAAGCCTTGACGAACTTAGGGTTCGCAACCGTAGTTCGTTCGAAGAGTCTACAGGAGCTACGACGTCAGCGATGCTTACGGACGCACCAAAAATAGCAACGAATGTGTGAATACCAAAGCGACCGATAAGAGCATACCATCAGGTGCTCGCGAAAGTGCAGAATAGAAACGGCTGGCCAAAAATAGGATGAGGTGGCGAGCCTCGTCCTCACTTGCGTAGTATGGGGTGATGACTTTCAGGGTGGGTAATACGACATGTGCTGCATACCTAGGTATGCAGTGGCGTGTGATTTACAATGCATGTGCCGCCGGCTTGTACCATGCAAGACTCTCAGAGTAGGCAATACGATCGTTGATATGTGCATATGCAGCTTGCACCAACGGCATACCGGGAGCCCAAGGAGCCAAGAGAGCGTTGCATCGAACATCACGCGGTTGGCTCAAACTGCATGAATGCACACATATCGTGCCTCCTGTTGTGTTGCAGTAGGCCATGGCCCCTACATGCACCAGTCTGAGATCATACTTGCCGATCCAGCGATAGTATGACAGCAAGATACTACTGAAGAGTGTTGTTGGTTCCGTGTTTCTCTCAATGTGCGTTGTGGACGTTACGTCACCTGCTCATGAATGCAATCTTCCTGCGTGGCGTCCAACATGCAACCATCTTCGGTACTACGTCGGTCAGAATGCCGCTCCAGGTGCTGTCACAGCACAGCCGCGTCAGGGCCTTGATTCCAAGCCAGAGTTGCAACACGCGACGTGAGCGTTGCAAAATCTGCCGCTTGCGCGCGGCTCAGTCGGCACGCATCGTCTGGTTCAAGTCGCTAGAAAGAGTTGCACCTTAAAGGTGCGTTCGACAGCCTAGTTAAGCTAAACAAAGCCCCTTGTTATATAACAGTTTAACGCTTTTAAAGTTTTTAATTATTAAACTTGCTTTATAAAATTAATAATTACCTTTTAAATAACTTAATATATTGAAATATGATTATTAATCAAGTTAATCTTAAAAGAGCTTTACTAAGCGAACTATATCCGCTTTAATGTTATAAGTTTATATATTCTGTCGTAACTACCAGCCCATTGAAGATTTAACTTAAAACCTTACGACTACAATACCTGCTAACGTACCTTACTTATAGCTATTTTAAAGTATTTTCATTTATCTAATTTATTTTTATTTATCTTATTAAGTAGTAGTAATAATTACTACGTAGCGCTTAATAGCCGCTATAATAATAATAATAATAATAATAATAATAATAATAATAATAATAATAATAATAATAATAATAATAATAATAATAATAATAATAATAATAATAATAATAATAATAATAATAATAATAATAGTAATAATAATAATAATAATAATAATAATAATAATAATAATAATAATAATAATAATAATAATAATAATAATAATAATAATAATAATAATAATAATAATAATAATAATAATAATAATAATAATAATAATAATAATAATAATAATAATAATAATAATAAATCAGCACTTGGTAAAGAGGATAAAATAACTTTTAACACAGCCCGCCAAGCAAAAGACTTTGAAAATAATAAAATAAAATAAAAATATAAAATTCTTTTTAAATAGGTCATATTAAATTATTATTTTACTTTAACTTAAAACAAGTTAAATAAGCCTATTTAAGTGGAAGTGTATTGCTCTTTATTTAATAAATAATTCTAGTTATTTCTAAAATTATACTGATAATATAAATATATTATAATATATATTATAAAAATAAAGTTCTTTTATTTATACTGAATCGCGTAGTTTTATTTATACCATATTTATATTACTAGAGCTTATTAAGTTTCATAAAAATGCTTTCCTAACTACGTTATACTATTTATATTATATTTTATATACTTTAAATTATAAATTTGGTTTTTATAAGCTTTATTTCTATATTTATTGTATTTGAAACTAATACTAATACCGATTTAAAAGACGTAAAAGATAACGTTATTTATATACGTACCTTGATACTTTTATAATCAACCGTCACGAAGTTTTAATTTACATTTAATTATCATTACGGTTATAAAATAGTTTGAAACAATTAAAGCCAATAATAGGTATTGACGTAAAACTTTATAGTTTTAACATTATAAAAAAGCATAATAAAAATTACAAAACCGGGTTAAGTAATAATAAAGTATTTATTCGCGTAAATATTACCTATAATTAAAGCGGCTACCGCGTATTTAAAGGTTGAAAGCTTCGTAAAATTATTACAAGAAACATCAACTATTTTAAGTGTGTAAAGCTCTTTATAAGGTAGTGAATAATTAAGTAGAACAGTTTTAAAGATATATAAATATAAATATATATAATAATTATAAAATCTTTTAATATAATTACAATCTAAATTTCGCTTATAGACTTATTTAACATATCTTTATTTTAATAAAGGTATTTATTTAAGGATTGAAACTCGATAATCAATAACGCCTTTTAATTACGAACAATTAGCCGTAATATTATTAAAAATTTGAAAAGTAAATTCAAATAATGTTTAACAGAACTTACTCATATTTTAAAAGTGGGTCATTCGCGTTTTTATAAAGGCTTTATTAATTTATAACTATTTTTAAAACGTTTGTTTAAAGGGCTATAAGTAAGCATTATTCAAGGTCAAGGTAGAGTTAGTACTTTTGACGGCCTTTGTTACATATTTATTTAGAATTATAAATGTATCCTAATATAAGTTACTGTTAGAACAGGCTTGAACGATCATTCATAATACTCGAGTATTGGGTCAAGGTCATGATGTTGCTGATGGTTGGATTGGAAGGTCTAGTTGGACTCGCAGGTCTTGCTAAGTGACCTCACAATCCGGTATCTAATCTCTTATCTAATCTTACATGTGGGTTCGGTATGGATGGTTTGAATGTGGAATCACATAGATCTAACTGTTATAATATATATTATTTAAACAGTTTTTTTGATTCTAATGTAAATAGTAAGACTTATTAAGAAAATAGTGAATTAAATAAGAAACGTCTTAATAATTATCAGCCGGTGCCGTTATACGGTATATAGGACTATAAAAAGTGAAAATACCAGCTATATTTACATAATGCTCACTAGCAATCCTTAAAATAATAACGGTTACGTAAGTAAAAAGTTATTTAAAAAGAAACGATTTTTTTACGAAACGGCTTATAATATTTATACACATATTATACTATAATACAAGGTTATAAAGGTCATACCTTTGAAAAGTTAATATCTTAGAAAAGTTAATATAAATTATACGTACGATATTAACAAATAAATACACACGTCTTTAACGTCAAAAATTTAAGTATCATCGGTTTTACGTTTAATCATACTTTTACTTATATTAATTCTAAAAATAACGAATTTTTCTTTATAATTCGCTATTTCGTATCTTTTCGGGTATAAATCAATGTTTCATTTCTTTGTGTAAATATTATAAATTTCGATGAAAAGGTTTGAAAAGTTATCAAAAAGCTTTTTACTCTCGAATTAAAAACTTGTATTTTCAAGCTAATAAATAACGCTGTCATTAATATAACTAGTAAATAAGTAAGCTTTAAGAACTAACTAACCAAGTAATTAACCTTTTTATAAACCTTATCAAGGTCCTTTAAAGTAATGTAAATATTTAATTAAAATACATTTTAGTTTAAATAGATAAAAAACAAATTAAAGCTATATAGCCCTTTCTCTTTAATAAACTTTCTTTTTTAAAATAAAGCGACCTTTTGTATTTCGTATACCTTTTTTTTTTTTTTTTTTTTTTTTTAATAAATTGATGATAGCATAAAATATTTAAACATGATTATTTGAATATATATAACTTCAAAGTCATAGTATATATATAATAATAAAAGCTTTTATATTTTAAGCAATAAGAAATACTTTATACATAAATATAATGTAATTTAACGTATAAGCTTCATTATTGATAGAAATAAATTATAAAACTTTAAAAACATATAATTTGAATGATTATGTCTACTATATAGAATCTAAGTTTAATTTTAAAAACCTTTTAAAGGTTGAACAAGCTATGAAGTACATTTATCTAAAAGAATCATCATAATACGAAAAGAAATTATTAAAAAACATTGAAATGATAAAGTATAATTAGGCTAACGGAAGTACCAAATAAATCGGCTAGCGCTGATTTGGATTAGGATTAATGTACGGAATCCCAATCGGAAGGTGGATATATATATGAGCTGTTCAGAAATGGGGTTTTTTCTCTCTTTCTCACTTTTAATTAAATGATAAACTTAATTTTAACTTATTTTAGACGTAAATATAAATATAGGTTATTATATATACTTCAGCTTAATAAGTTAATATCTATTTTAATGAGGCTTATAATCAGAGCGATAAATAAAACTTGGTATAACAAATACAAGCTATATTATAAAACTATTAGAATATTAAGGGCGATTATTAATATAAGATAAGTTGAAAATATTAAAATTTAACATCTAATAATATTAGAATGAATTTAAAAAGTAATAAGAATGAAGCCTTACGAAAATAATTCTGAATAAAAATTGATATATAATTGTTAAACTAAAATAGATTTGAATGAAGTTAAGGTTAAACATTTATAAATATTTTATTAATATAAATATATAAATCAATAAAGTTAATATTATTTAAGGTCA